TGAAATGAAAAATAAAAAAATTTTTAAAAAAAGAGAGCTGTTGTAAAGCTGGGGTTAAGTGGCCTAAAGGTCCCTTCTCTGTAGACTCACAAGCCCTAAGCCAGCCTGCAGGTCTCAGAACAACGGCCCACCCCCAAGCAAGTCATCCACACTTACCACCGATGGAGATTCATGGCCTGCAGTTTCTGCTGGTCCTTGGGGGGGAACATGGTGGGTCGGATCTGTGTGTGTCTGTTGTGAGGGACCTCCTCCCAGTCTGTAAACCACTGACCGTCCTTTGTCATGACCTGAGACACAGGGCAGAGGTCACGGTCAGCTCTGATGGTCAGAGAAGCACAAGGCTGCTTCTGGAGTGCTTGCATGGTACACAGGGGCTCCCATCTCTACAGAGAAGGAAACTGTCCAAAGACACAGCGGAGTGCTCCCACTGTGCACAGGGATGGAGATCATCTACAGACACAACAGGAAAGCTCCTACAGGACAAAGGGACTCACTCTGTCCACAGAGTTAAGAGACTGTCAACAGACACGGGTGAGTGCTCCCATTTGACTTAGGAACTCGCCCTGTTCAGGGAGGGAAACCATCCACAGACATAGCAGGAGGGCTGTCACAGGGTACCGGGCTCAGTTCTCTCCACACACAGCAGGGCTCTTGCATGAAATGGGGAACCATCCTGTCCATAGAGTGTCCAGAGGGAGTGCTCCCGCAGGACACAGGGACTGATCCATTCAGACACAGCAGAGTGATCCCACAAGAAATGGGATTCTTCCTGTCCACAGAGTGACCAGAGTGCTCCCACAGAATACAAGGACTCAATCCAGGCCACAGAGCAGGGGACCTTCCACAGACACAATCCCTCAAAAGGAGCAGTCGCATGTGTTTGTTGTTGCTAAGTGCTGCTGAGTTGTAGATGACTCCAAACGACCCTATGAACGAAAGACCTGAACACTTGTGTAACTTTCTTCGTTTCTCCAAGTTCACTGGGTTTCCAGAGGCAAGCTATTTCAGAAGTGGATGCCACTCCTGCTTCCAAGCCTGTTTTAACTGGGGAGCTCCACCCAACACTGTTCACCATGGGTAACCATTATCACACTTGACACAGTGTCACAGTGTTCAGCATCACAGCAACCACGAGTTACCTCTGCACAGCAATGCACAGACCAGTGCTGTACCACTCAGAAGAATGCTTGACCAAAATGAATTTAAACTGAGGGCTGCAGATTCAAATTACCCACCTTTGGCTCGTTAACATCACTTTCTGTCCACAAGGCCAACAGGCAATGTGCCTCTGAGATGCTAGCCCTGGAAACCTAAAGTAGTTCTCTGTCCTCAGGGAGCCGGGACAACCTGACACAATGGTGACGGTGCGGCTTTGGGGAAGAAAACAGGTAAAGCTAGTGTCTAGAGAAAAACTTTTCTATTTGCAGAGTGACTTGAGAGTACTCGAATCTCACCTTCTGTTACTAAATACAACACTGCATCTGAACCTCATCCACATGTGGTTAGGCAAGCTTCCCAGATGTGAACACTTTCAGGATTTTAGGAAGAAAACAGCAGTCCTAACTCCCTTGGGGCCACACTCTCACCTTCCACTGGGACAGTCCAGGCATCCGCTTCAGCCCTGGCAGCTCCGAGGACACATCAGCCAGCTCCAGAGCCCCTGGGAGACACAGAGAGAGAGGAAGTGCAGTCAGGGGAGGCCAGGGGGACACAGGACACACTGGGGGGAAGTGGACTGTCCGATGGCCAGGCCAGAGTGACCACTGCCCAAATGGTCCTAAGTGTAACATGGGTAGGCCGCAGCTGGCTGCAGTCACCAGAGACTACTTATAACTCATGAACGTCACAACCTGGAAACTCTCCCAGGAGGGCTCTGTGAAGGGCACGGTCCATTCACCTGGCCACGCCCCACACTGCCAGGCTTTTATGTCTTTGCCAGCCAACAGCACCAGCATCAGAGGCGAGAGCCAGGCACAACTGCAGACGTGGTGCACTCCGGGCTCGTGCCGTGGACTGAGAGGGTGGCAGAAGGCAGCAGCAATCTGCTCCTGTGAAGGTTTACAGACTCGACAACCTGATGGGATCACTGTGCCAGGACAGCTTGATGGCAGGAGGTGAGCGCACAATTCTCAACATCTGTTTCAGGTCCAAGTAGTGTAATGTGGCGATCTAACTGAAGGAACTCGCTGCCCTGGCATTGACCCTGACTCACAGCGATGCAAGAGGGAAGAGGACACCTAGCCGCAGGGTTTGAGGCTGTAAATCCTTACGGAAGTGGACTGCCAAATCTTCCTCCTCAGAGTGGCTGCGGAGTTAGCTCCTTTTCAAGGTTTCCATCTCAAGAAAGGCCAAGAGGTGAGACCACCAAGGGAACCTGTCACATGGGCTGCCAGCACCACAGGAGACACAGACTCAAAGGCTCACAGAAGGGGCCTGGACTAATTCCATGGAGCTACTGTGGAGGCACGATGACTGTCACTGGGCTACACCAGCCCCACAAGCACATCCCACAGCTGTGGAGAATGGTCCCCGCCCCAGGGACCCTGCTGGTTCTTCTAGTGGCTGACTCATCAGCAGTGTCACACTGCCAGTGCTGACCTGTCCTTTGGCTGGTGCCCAAGCACATCTCTCCACCCTGCTGAGGTCAGAGTCAGGGGTGGGGGGCTGCAGCTCCCTCTCCCTCCACACCCGCCCCTCTTAAAACAGGGTACTGCACTGTGAGTTCTGCTTAGCCCCCAAGCCAGGGTCCTCCCAGTGCGGCCAGGAGAGCATATAGGTGGTCTCCCACTGTCACTGGAGAGGGCGGGACATCCAATCGAATTCCCAGCTGTTGAGGAAACCCGGGCAGATACGCAGGGATCCTGGGTCTGGAGGTGCACATGCTGCTAACAAGGGTGGTGTCTCTGCTAGGCCCAATCCCCCAGCTGCTCCACAGGGTAAGACGGGCAATCTCTTCCCAAGCAATTTAATGCCTCTGAAATCCACTGGAGGGTCAGTTGCAAATCTGTTTCAACTTGACAGCAACATGCTTGGAGGTTTTTGAGAGTAATTTCCAATCTGCGGGGGGACTGCTTGCTCCACGGGCATGGTTGTCACCAGAGCTGTGGTCACAGGTTAGGGACCAGATTGGAGGGGCACCCTCCCCCACAGCCACATTCCTGGTGACGGCCACTCCTACCTTCGCTTTTCTCCAACAGAGCAGCGATGACGGCTTCATCCTCGATGGGGTTCAGGGAGCAGGTGGAGTAGACCATCCGTCCACCTTCAGCCAGCTGTTCTGCTCCCCGAGTGGCGATCCGCAGCTGGAGGCTAAGAGCAGATGTGAGGGTTCACGCAGTGCACGTGCCCACAGCGAGGGGCCTTGTAGTGCGCGCATCTGCCCACTGGCTAGGGACAACTTACAGCAAAACACAACATGCTATGCAGACAGACAACCCCTCACAGAAACGGACTTGCTACAATTCCTAAGTGAGGTAGAGACCAGCACTGACACCTCTTGGCTAGCGACTAAAAGGGCTGGCAGGTGGAACCCATGCCACCACCCCACACAGGAAGGGCCCAGGGAGCCAGCGCCATAAATAAACCAGGGAAGCCCTGTGGGGCTCCGTCCTCCCAGGCAAGGGGCAAGTGGGCATCAACCCCATGGAAACTACCACCCACAGGTGAAGTTAAAGCGACGTCTGTCATGTTACCACCACGCTGCTCCCAGGCTCTGGCAGGTGAGCTCCCACTCCTAGCCACCCGATGAGCCGCAGACACCCCACCCAGAGCTGTGCCATTCCTACAACCCTCGCAGTGCCGGAGGCCACCGTGCTGCCAGCATCAATAACTATGATGCGTCAAGGAGCTGGTCACTCTTTCCAAGGCTCTGTTAACTGTTTCTACTGTACCCACAAACTATAAAGTTAATTCACAAACAAGTATTAAATTAGTCTGACCACTAAACAGAGACTTATCAAATGAAAAAACAAAAAAACCTCTGCACTTGCACAAATGTGTGAATATGCTTCCTAGCAAAATGGATTTCCCTCTACCATTCTCATCTCAACTCTCATTAAAAAAAAAAGCACAGACTGTGGTAAGATAAGCATCGACAGGAGACCCTGCCGCTGGGGTTCACGGTGATGCCCCCACAATATAACCGGGGAGTGAGAACCCCCACGGATCACGTGCAGGCAGCACAATTGCACACTGCTTGGCACTCAAACCGACCGGAAAAGATTGGCCTCCTCACTGCTACAGCAGGTGCCCGAGCGGGGGGACTGTCTTCTGTCACTCTCAGCGGCTTTCCAAATTTTCTCCCAGAACCATTTCTCTTACTACAGAGAAACTCATTAAAAAACCTCTCAGAACAAAAATGTTATACAACACAGAGATTCAGTCCAAAGAAGAAAAAACTGAGAATTAAGTGAGGCATTAAAAAAGAGTCGTGGCTGTGCAACAGTTAAGTGCTCAGTCACGGGGTGGGGGGGGGGGGGGCGCGGCTGCTGCTGCACAGGTGCAAGGCGGGAGAAAAGACCTGGCCATTTGCTCCCACTAAAACCACAGACTAAACCACTATCAACTCATCATCAGGGAGCTGTGCTGCCAACTCAAAGGCATGTGGTTCGAATTCACCAGCTGCTCCTTGGGAGGAAGTTGGGCGAGCTATGTTATGGTTTACAGCCTGTGAAAACCCAGTGGCGGGTCAGCAATGAGAGCCTGAGAGAAGCCCCGGTGGGCAACTGGAGTGTGAGCTGGAACCAACCCGCTGGCATTTCACCCCACCCCCCGCCCCAAGTGGTGGTCAGTCCCCTGGTATCAGAGGGTGATCAAGTAATCCTTAGAGAAGGACATGATGCTTGGATAGGTAAAGGGTCAGCGAAGAAAAGACTCTCAACCAGATGGAGTGACACGACGGTGACTGCCACAATGGGCTCATGTGTGTCAGGAAGTGTGGAGATGGCACAGGACAGAATAGGGGTCAGATCTTTTGTTCATAAGGTCGCTATGAGTCGTACTCGACTCAACGGCACCTAACAACAATCTCATCAAGTCTCTTCAGAAGGCCCCTGAAGGCCTGGATGCCGGCCGTCCCCAGGGTCCTGCCATGCAGGGCTACGCTCACCCATGCAGCTGCAGGCTGTTCAAGGTGCTCCACTTCTTCCAGACGTCGATGTTCTTCCGCATGGTACCGTCGCCACTGGAAAGAAAGGAATTGAGAAGTTAGTAATGCCCAAGAAAGTGAGGAAACAGGACATTGCAAAACATTAGAAATTCCACCTGGAAACCACCTGAGCACTCGCACCCCTCAAGCCAACGTCCTGCCCACTTCAGAAGCGGAAGCTCTGAGCAGGAACCTCACTTAACACTCACAGGATGAGTCTGCCTCCACTTGGGAGAAATAACAACACTCATTTGTAGAACTGGAGTACAGAATCTTAATAAGGGTAAGACACTTTGGTGTCACTACTCTTCATTAACAAACAGCATTATTTTCAACTAATTTGTTGAATAACTGTTCTTACGAACCATCAAACCAGACAAGATTCATAGCTGACCTTCCAGTGGGCTTTCCCATGAGGAGATGGCCCATCCTTCCCCCGCCGACCAGACGGTGGGTAAGAAGATAAAGCAGTTCCCTCTCAGAAAGATTTACAATGTCAGATACCTATGTAGTTTGTCCTAGGAGTGCTCGGCAGACTCAACTGCAGCCCCAGGCCTACGACACAGGACACGCATCCACCCTGGAGGCCATGACCCTAGAAGGCCTCGGGTATGGCGAGCACACACTCACCTGCGGGGCCTGAGTTCACCCTGGAGGACAGGACCCTCTGGAAGGCCACAGGCATGGCGAGCACACACTCACCTGCAGGGCACGTCGCACAGGACTCGGTCATAGAAGAGCACCTCCTTACGGCCATCCACATCCACTTGCAGCCTCGGGATGCTCGACGCATCATGGTTGACCACCATAATGCAGGGGCTGCTCAGCCTCTTGGCCTGGTGGACAAGCAGGTAGCAGCGCTTGTTGTCCACATCGTTCGCAATGACAAAGCCCTCTGGGGACGGGAAATGGTGAGGTCAGGGGAGAGGCAGCTTCCGGGGACACTCTGGGCTCCAGACAGGAGAGGAGAAGCCACATAGTAGCCAGCAGCGCTGAGCAATCTCAAACCCTGAAGACCCATCAGACAGATGTTTCCAGCTCATGACCTGAGGCTTTGAACCAGTAACTCTCAGTTCAGACTCAATCTTATACAAGGTACACCTATCTGGACAGTCAACAGAATGGGAAGAATTATGGTTCAACACCTTGAACCTCCTTTTTCAAAAACCAGCAAAGTGAGCACACTGCATAACCTCTTTCTGTACTGACAGCCCCTGACACTCTGACAGCACAGAGGAACTAGTACGCAGAGAGACCACAGATGTGCTGTGCTATCTACCAAGGCAGAGACCGGCCAGCACCAGCATCGCTCTGGAACCCCATGTGCTGAGTGAGACAACACTAATAACGCCCAGCCCAGATCTCGCTTCAGCAGCCTGCCCGTTACAGCAAGTCACTACACATGGCCAAGAACAAAGGAGCTCTTCAGCCACGTTAACCCGAACAAAGGACTTTTCCTTTTTCCTGTTCTTGCCACAGGAGGTCAGTTCCTGGCTCAAAGGCAGCTATGAGGAAGTCAGTCTCCATCAGGCCGCGAAGCCTGGCTATTACTGGCTTTGAGTTTTGGTCTATTATTTATCACCGATAAACTCGATCCAGGACCCTCTATTAGGATCCCTTTCAGAGAGGTGAGCAGTGGTAGCAGCAGGGCACCATCCCGCTCTTCTCAGGGCCGTGGACGCTGAGGACCACAAAGTCTATTGATGCCACACATTGCTTCTATGCATCTTTTGATTTTTTTTTCACTGCTCTCAGAACAGAGGACTTTTTAAAATACAGTAAAGCAGTAGTATATGTAACAGAGTTAGAGCCCCTGGCTTAAATAAAAGGTCAGATGAGACACACCTAATGAGAAGCCCCACAAACGTATCCTAGCTGTTCTGGCTTGGAAGACACCCAACCAGGAGCGCCCCAGGCTCCCCAAGGGACACTCGGAGCTCCTGTCCAGCACACACCCTGCACAGCCTCCTGGAGACACCCCCGCAGGGTCACGGACGATGGCTCCTTGTCAAAGCTGGTGGATTCCAGCCCTGGAGCCTGAGAGCAGTGCCCCACACAGGCGGTGTGCAAGTGCCAACAGAGCACCACACCAACAGTGAAGAAAGTCAGGCCGTGATGCTGTGCATGGTCAGAAGGGCTCACCGTGTGCTTGGACGAGAACGCACACGCGCCAGACAAGGCCCTGGAGTCTCACACGTGGCTCTGAGCACCGTCACTAAGGATGGCTGCAGAGCTGGGGACAGCTGAGGCAGGGTCTCCCCCCTCCACCTCCTCACCCCAATCCTTGAGCCCCAGCCCACCTGGGAAGGGGATGTTCATGTCAGCATGCAGCATCTCAATCAGCTGGGCGGTTTTTGATCCAGGTGCTGCACACATGTCCAGAATCTGTCAATGAAGCAACATGTGCAGCTTTTTACATCAGGAAATCAGACTTGCTACTTCAAGTACAACTTTCTCATTACAGTGTAACTATTTCTCCCCCAAGGTCTACAGTTTCTTCAGGCATGCATCCCTCATTTAGCATGCATCCCTCATTTAGCATGCATCCCTCATTTATCACACTCTGCCTGACTGCAGATGCTGTGACTTTTATAAAAGGGAAGGTGGGTGGCACGCTGTGCTAAGCAAGCTCGTGGATGCCACCAGCACCGCCCCTGGGGCACACACCCCTCTTGTCTCCAGGTCCCTCCCATTCTGGGCCTTCTCACAACACTGCCAACTTTTTGTTGTCATGCTCTCGATATTCTATAAACTATACACATAATATTTACTTGTCTGTTTTTTTTATATTTTGGTGTATCCTGGGGAATAGGAACCAATTCACAGCTGACCCTCCTGTGGGTTTTCAGAAGCAGTTCAGTACATGGGAGAAGAATCCCTACCCATCTTTCTCCAGCAAAGCAGCTGGTAGATTCGAACCACACGTCTTTGGGTTGGCAGTGCAACTCCTTACCACTAGGCCACCAGAGCGCCACTGTGTGTGCGCGCGCAGGGTGAGCAGCTAGGAGTCAGTCCATCTGCTTTGGTACAGCATGGTTTACCAAGGGGCCCCGTGTCAACACCGGGTGATAAAGCCTGTCACTAGCAGCTGCGGTAAGCCACGTAGCAATGAGCAGGAAGGGACAGTCCTTGCCTGGGACAGCTAGCTGTGCGCACTGTGGGGAGCAAATGGCCTGGGGCTCCGGCTCACCCTGAGAGCGTGGCCACCTTAGGCCAGTTACTCAGCATCGAGTGGCAGGGTCTACCTCGTGGGGCATGTGGACAACAGTTTTCCACAGGCACTCTCGGGCCTCGCTCCCAGGATGTCCAGAACTCCCATCACCAAGGGAGACCTGCTCACCTTCTAATACTCTCAAACTCCAGGAGGAGAGCAGCTCTGGAGACCACCGAAATCCTACAGTCCAAACAGCAAGTGACTCAAGTACACACTACTTCCTATCTTAGCCAAAAAGTAGGGGGAGGTGTTTCTAAAACAAAATAGGTTTCATCCTTTACTTAGAAAAAAAAAAAGGAGCTCGGGAGCTAACCAGAAAGACCAGTGACTCACACCTTCCGGGAACACGGCCACCCACTGCTGGAAACCCTATGGGGCCATCCCACCCTGTCCGTCATGGTCACTGTGACAAAGACAACCCGAAAGGATTAACCTTTATTTTAGCAAAAGTAAACAGGACAGGGAAAAGGGAGCGCTTTTAACCCGATTAAGATAGAAAGGCCTAATAAAACGCAGCAAGCAGGCACAAGGCCGACCACAGCTGTCCTCCAGGTCAGCCGCCTCACCTTGTGATGGGGCTGGACATTGAGCAGCAGAGGTGGGATCATGCTCACGGCCTCCTGACGGCTGATGTTCCCCTGGGGAGAGAAAGCAGACTCAGCAACAGTCCTGAGAATCCCAAATTCCTTACACTGGGTGGTATTCAAATGGACAGAGAAATGACACGATATGAGCTCACAGAGAAAAAGGGGAACAAGTCCAGTCGAGAACCTCTGAATACATGAAGATAACCTGTGATGGGTTTTTACAGCAGTGGACAAGATGGGAGGAAGTGAAATGGCTGAAGATTAAAGACTACGTACAGACTTCAACATGGATTACATCCCAGTATCAGGAAAACAAAAGTCCTCACAGGACCATCAGGCAACGTAGCAGGTGGAGAAAGACTGACGTTCTCAACTATTTCCTCCTGCTTGGAGCTACAATCAACACCCCTGACACCAGCAGCCAAGAAATCAAAAGGTGAGTTGTTGTTGTTGTTGCTGTTGTTGTTATGTGCTGTCGAGTCGCTTGCGACTCACAGCGACCCTATGTACAACAGCCCTAAACTCTGCTCTGTCCTGTGCCAATCACACTGTCTCAGACACACCCATCCCGATTATTCCAGTCACTGAATCAATCCACCTCATAGAGGGCCTTTCCCTCCCACGCTATCCCTCCACCCTCCCAAGCATGATGTCCCTCTCCAAGGACCCGTCTCTCCTTACAACATGTCCAAAGTATGTTAGACGGAGCCTCAGAATCCTTGCCTCCAAGGAACCGCCCAGTTTAACCCTTTCCAGGATGAATCTGTTTGCTTTCCTAGCAGTCCATGGTATTCTCAATACTCTTCTCCATCACCACAGCTCAAAGGCATCAATTCTCCTTCTATCCTCCTTGGTCATTGTCCAACTCTCTGATGCATAACAAGTGATTGCAAAGACCATGGCCTGTATAATATGATGTCAAGGACCTCTCTAAGGTGTTAAGGAGCAAGAAAGTCAGTTTAAACACAGAGGTGTGCACCTGGTCCAAGTCATGGTCTTTTCAATGACCTCTTACTCACGTGAAAGGTGGACAATGCATTAGGTTCTAAGAAAACCACCGATGCCTTTGAGTTGTGGTGTTGGGAAGATGACTGAATTTCTCATGAAACGCCAAAAGAATACACAGGTATGTCTTGGAGAAAGTGCAACCAGGGTGCTCCTTAGAGGCAAGGATAGCAAAGCTTTGTGCCCCATACCTTGGGCATGTTGTTAGCAAAGGCCATCCTTGGAAGAGGACGTTGTGCTTGGAAAGGTGGAGAGGCAGCAAAAGGGAGGAGGCTATCCAATAAGAAGGCCTGACACAGTGACTTTAACAATGATCAACAGATCAGAAATGATGAGGATGGCACAGGTCAGGTCCGGTGTCAACAGGGTCACTATGAGTTGTAATCGACCCAACGATGTCTAACAACAGCACTTAGGGCTGGAGAGCCTCAGAGGTTCAGTGGTAGCATTTCTGCCTCTCATGCAGGAGAACCGGGCTCGATTCCCAGCTGGTGTGTTTCAGCGCAGGCACAACAAATATGGTTAAGGTACACACACACATCCATACACACATGCACACACACACACAAACATCTGCATTTATAGCTCCAGGAAAACACACAAACTTAAGACTGCTACTTACAGATTCTGTTTCGCTAACCAGAAACTGATGGAACTTCTCCAGCTGTGGTGACTTCCTGAGGATTTTCCGGCTTAAGTTCGTGTGCCATGCAAGTTCTTCAGGGTACCTGACAAGGACAAGGACACTGAGAAGTGGAGCACCTCGGCGACCCCACGTCTGTACTGCCTGCTCCCACCCTGTGCCCATTTAAGGCAGGCAGCCGGTGGGCACAGCAGTGGACAGGGGACACAAGGCTCTGTCGGGGGCCACGGGCATTCCAGGAGATACACATGATCGCAACATAAATGATATGTACCATGTCACATGGCACGTGGGTTACGGGAGCTACATGATCCACAGAATTACCACATGATGCTGAGATGATGGCTGATGTCAATATACACACCAGCCAGAAGGCTGTCAGGTCCAAACAAGGGAATGTGGAGGGTTACAGCAAAAACAGAGCCCCCATCTGTGATCCCTGCAAGTAAGCAAATGCACTGAGGGCATCAGAAAAGGCTCTGACAGCATGAAGAATCACATGGGCACAGGAGAAAACGGCAAGTAGGCAGGCGCTTTGCCTGTTGAGACAAGGACCCTCTGCAGGATCCAGCAGCTACAGCCAGGGCTGAGGGCAGAGGGCACACACGGGGCAAGGGATGGGCTGGAGCTCCGCCTGCATCCGGACGCGGCCTTGCAGGGTAGGGCTTTCTGAGAGAGGCCCACACCCTCAGTGTCCCTGGGCTAGACAACCACCACACCAGAACTTCTGTCAACTACAGGCTTTCACTCTTTCCGGAGCGAACCAACCTGGTGTTTCCTAGATGAAAGATGCCAGGACCTCGACGATGAGCTTCTCGCCATCCTCACCGCCCACCATGCCTGGGATATTTCGCCAGCTGCCCCGGTGTTGTTCCTGTTAGGTGCTGTCAAGTTCAGCAGGACTCACACTGACCCGACCCTGTCCTACCCTGTGCCGTCTTCACAATCTCAGCCTCAAGCCCAGTGCTACACTCACTGTGTTTTGGTTGAAGACTCTCTTTACTGAACCTCCAAGCATGATGTCTTTTTCAAGGAACAGCCTTTCCTAGCAACATGTCCAAAGTATGTGAGATGAAACTTTGCCATCTTTGCCTCCAAAGAGCGCTCTGGCTCCACTTTCCCCCCAAGACATACCTATTCGATATTTCGGCAGCCCGTGGGATATTCAGCACTCTTCTCTACTCTCACCGTTCAAAGGTGTTAATTCTTTGTCTGATATCCTTTTCAGTAAGCATAGTAGCTATGGCTTGAATGGTGAATTGCCAGGTCAGGGGAATTTCAGCAGATGCTGCTGTGGGTGGCCTCGCCAGCCCCACTACCCTTCCAGCCCTGAGGCCGAGGGCTACCCTGGCGAGGCTACTGGCTGGCACCCCAACCCCCCTGGACCTGCACTGAAGTGAGGCGGACACTGCCCACAGTCCCATGCTCCAACAATCACCGGGTAAGCGGGCCAGACCAGAGCTGCTCCTTTTGGTGCAGGCAGGCACACAGTGTTCTCCTGCGTCAAACCACACCTCGGAGACAGTGTGGACCTAAGGTCAGAACACCGAGGGCAGGTCTACCAGGCAGGCTGGTAGGACAGACGTGCATGTCCACTTCCTGATGCAGGGAGCACTCCCCAGATGGGACCGCTCAGTCTGCAGTCCTAGGGCTGAGCCTCGTGCAGCCTGCTTCCATGCTGCAGGCCAGCAGGGCCGTGGGGAACGGTGAACAGACTCTGTCTCACACATCCCCTCTCACCATGTGGAGGCCGAGCAGTCGGAGGATGCGCTGACCTCACTCCACCACAAAGCGGAGGTGGTGTGCCAGGTTCTGCACCCAGCAAGTGCTCACCTCCTGTCCACAGATGAGGTTTTTGGTAATTCTCATGGTATTTCAGACTTTTCATCATACACAACACACTCCACAGTCGACAGTATAAATAACTGCCATGCGTTGTCAAACATTCCCCAGCAGACTCGCTCTGTGCTGACAGTCACTTTATCTGGTGGCTGGAACCCAAAGCATGGTCTCCCGAGGCGCGAATGCACCATGATCAGCTAACACTGCCATCCCAGTGTAACACTCGTGACACCAACCACATGGTGGCCAATGTTAGGAGCAGGGCTGGGACCAAGGACTGCACAGTCCTGGAGGTCACCACAGCCTGCAAGTGCCATCCAGACTCATTGCAGACGCAGCCCCGGGCCAGGGCGTGAGCCGGGCCCCTCCTGCTTGGATATGGGACGAAGACAGAGAAAGATGCTAAACTGTGTGAATAAAAGCATCTAAGAACGTTCAGTGTTGACTAGGCACAAATACCATCAAACAACAAGAAAGTGTGTATAGCTCAAGAACAGATTCACCCTTCCTTGAGCCAACAGATGTTATGTGAAACATCATCTTGAAGCACAATGCTAACCTTGACCCTGAGTCTTTGGATAAAAAAGCTCCACCTGAAAATTTATCATAGCTTCTGTGAATAAATGAAAAAAGAAAAAAAATACCATTATCATCTGTCTCTGCATCTCAAAACATCCAGGACAGAAAACTCTGCTATGCACAATGTCGACAAGAAGCCAACTTCAGCCCAGAAATGAACGTAAAGACTGTGGCAGGAAAAGTGTGCTCCCAGCAAGAGCCACTGGACTGAAGCCCTTAAAAGGATCTGTGGCATGAGCTGACCAACACAGACCGCACTCACAGGCGAGGAGCAAGGCCCTCGGTGCCAGCCATGAGCACTGCAGACAGCACACCTTGTAGAAAACCGTACGTCCAGAGAAGCCAGCCCAATGCCGTCAAAGCAAGCCACTCACTGCAATCCTCCATGGGAGGAGACTGCCCATCGTACTTCCTTGGAGAGGCTGGTGGATTTGACGTACAGCACACTGCACCGCCAGAGATCCTCCCAGGAACACACTGGTTCATATGGAACAGAAAGAACACACTGGAGGAGGACGATGCATTTGGAAGTCCTGCCCTGCTGGAGACTAGAGGCATATGTATCATTGTTGTTGCTGTGTACCATCAAGTTGGAACCAACCCAGAGCGGACCCTCTGGTGGGTTTTCAGAGGCTGTGATCACACAGTAAAATGCCCACCTTCTCCCAGAGCAGCTGGTGGATTCGAACTGTGTCCCTTTGGTATTGCAGCACAGCTTCTTGCCATTAGGCCACCAGTGCTCTCTATATGCATCATAGGTGACAAATTAATGTCTGATGGACGCAAAACTTATGGGAGCCCTGGCATGTTAACTGAAAAGAGGAGTCGGTAAGGGGAGCCCGAATCCTACAGTGTTGTGCTGATACCCTGTCTGTCCAGAAATTACAGCCAGACAAACCCGCGAGGGCTGTGCCACAGTGAATCCACTCTCCTCTCCGAAAGCCCTCAGGGCGCAACAAGAAAACATAAGAGCAGTGCTGGGAGAAGAGGCCCAGCCAAGAGCTCTCAGCCGGCAAGGAGCAGTGACAACCCACAGCACCAGAGCCAATCCACCTCTCAGTCGCTGGAACCTGCACATTAAAGCATGAACGTGAACTACAGGCAGAGCTCAGTCTTCGGTACGATGGTGGGCAGCACCTGTGAAAGACTGCCAATACTCAGATGGACAGTGGGATGGTCCATCTTCAGCTGCCCGCCCTTTCGCCCCTCACTTTGTATCTAAGGTTGCAGGCCAGCAGTCACCACGTGACTGGAGAAATACGAGCGCACACACAAAACACTACGCAGTGACACCCAGGGGACAACTTCAAACACTCTGAAGACACCAGGTCCATCAACTGGAAACAGGGCTGAGTGCCAGTGTGGGTGACCACCACATGACAGAGTGGGAAGAGCAACACCCGCATCCATGCCTCTAACCAAGTCTTAACACAATCTACAACAGAACCACACCCCAGAGGAAAAACAGTGAAACTCAGCAACCATGCCTCTCTAATCATGTCTTCACAGGACACACAAAGGGAGCCCATGACAGAGTGGGAGAGTGACACTTAGATCCCTGCTTCTAATTGTCTTCCAAGTCCTAGTGTGAGAGGGACAGTGACACTCAGTTCCCTGCCTCTAACCACATCTTCACACAGTAATACAGCAGGACCACATGTCAGAGCGGGGACAGTGCCACCAGCGCCCCTGCCTCTAACCACGTCTTCACACAGACACAGTAACTGTGACGCTGGCTCCAGCACAGCAGGAATGTGAGGTCTCAGGAGGGATTCCCTCGACTGCTGCAGGAGTCTCTCGACTGCGGCGAGATTCCCTCATCTGCTGCGTGGATTCCCCTGGCTGTACATGTGGTTGCTATGAGAAGTCAAGAGCTGACCTAAAGCGGTGAGGTTGGACAGCATTTCATCCTGCTGTGGGGAGTCACTGAGTGATTCCACACTATGGCATCTAGCAACAGCTCGATCCCTGCAGGATGCCAGGTGCACACTGGAGGGCCCCAGGGCTTCCTTTACTTCTGTCCGCTGGTTCCTACATCTGCCTGGGCCTAATTCAAAGGACCCTGGAAATGCCAGTTTACTCACAAAAAAGGGTGTAGATGAACGGACAACAGTCCAGCTATGAGGCTCCAAATTTATCACGAGTCAGTGTCTCGCAGGAAGCCCAGGATCCATCCCAGAGCCTAGCCTGGGGCCTCATGTACAACGCAGAGCCCGTGCAGCGTGGCAGAGCACAGGGTTCTCAGCGCTGGTGCTGTTCTTTCAGGGCACGTCGGGGGCGGCTGGGCCTCTCACCTCTGGTCAGCAGTCCAGCGGGACTGACTCAGTCCCCAGCCTCCTGCCACAGAGAGGCTGACACTCAGCCAGACCACCTCCAGGTGAGGTATGGGGCCCTACCCTGGGTGGTTAAGGGCTACAGTGGACACCACAGTGCACAGGAGCGGATAGCACAGGTCACAGGCCAGGCAAACCCCAAGGCTGAGGACATCGAGAGGACAGATTCTTCTGATGACGTGAATTATAAACCCTGTATCAAGGAAAAGAGGTAAATAAAGTGCCTGATTAATGAAAACCTGGGCCTGGTTAGCAGTCACTGTTGTTGTTGCTGCTGGTCGCCATGGAGTCAGTCCTGACTGAAGGAGTTTTCTGCCAGGTCAGAAGCAGGTGACCAGGTCTGTCTGCCAAGGTAGCAGGGTGTACTGACCACCACCCCTCACCTTCTGGCTGGTTCCTGAGCACCTGACTATGGACACTGCCCAGGCCTCCCGACTCTCTGAAGGGCACGGCACAGAGATCATTGCTCACCTGCCTTTAGACTGCGGGTGAACAGTTAGTGTGGCACGCCAGTAACAAGGTGCGTGCTCTGGAAAGTAGGTGTCACAGACGGAACTGTGTCCCTCCCAGCAAGACATATGTATGGCAAGTTCTGGAATGATCCCCCATGAACTGACAAGCCAAGTAACTATCTGAAAGGAGTAGGATGGGATGCAATACCCTTATCCCACCACAACTTTGATCTACATAAGGAGAATTTCTCTGGAATGTGACGCATAGCTCTTTTTATCTCATTAGAGAGAAGATGCTGGTGTCCTCCAGACAAGAGCAGGAAGTGGAGCCAGTTCTTTGGACAAAAGTCTCTGTGCTGGGAAGCTCCTAGCCACAAAGAGACCCCTCAAAATGCAACCTCACTGCCACCGAGCCAGAACCAAATCAAAGCTGACTCTCCAATGGGTTTCCAAGACTCAACCACACAGGAGGAGTCTGCCCGTCTTTCTCCTATGGACCTGCAAGTGGATCTGCACCACCAGCCAGGTCAGCAGTCTCACTTGCTACAGAGCACACCGGTGTTCAACATGGGAAGGCCAAAGCACGTGGCCCTCTCTGAGAAATGCTGGCCTACAAATGCTGAAGGAGACAGGGATCTGCCTCCAGAACCGAGAAAACCCAGAGGTGCTTCTTTCTAAACCTGGCACCCTGAATGTGGACTTTCCACCTAAGAGGGTGCTCCTGAGAGGCAAGGATGAGGCTTCATACCCGGGATGAGTGTCAGGAGGAGCCAGGCCTGGAAATGGGGCATCGCACTGGGAAAGGTGGAAGGTCAGCAGAGAAAGCCCTTCCGCATGAAAGCCAGACACAGTGGAGACTGTGAGGACGGCCCGGGACTGAGCAGGGTATCGGTCTGCTGTATGCAGGGTCATTAAGAGTGCTATTCACCTGCAGAGCGTCGCCGCCCATCACCACAGGCTTCGCCCCAGCAAAGCAGCAGCAGTGAGCAAGGTTCCCGGAGAGGCCAGCGTGGGGACAGCCGCTCCCCAAGCCACAAGCGTAGGTGGGAGACACCCAGCCCTCGGTCTGCACGTCACCGCTCCTCCAGGTCTCCTGAATCCTTAAGGAGAACCCCCTTTCCCTCAAGCTACAGGGGGGCCCTGGTGCACCCCCCACCCCAACCCTGACACAGCATCTTGTGGGGAAGACTTTACCTCTCCCGTCCTTTTTTCTTTGTTCCTGTGAAATGTTATAATCTCTTGTGAGTTTTTTCCTGGTTCATGTGTTTTAGGGGGTTGGGTGGGATGGATTAAGACTTGGGGGCTGGGGAGAACAGGGACAGATAGCTCTCCCACTGCTGTTAAGAGGAACTGGGGGGCTCTGCCCTCCTTCACCCGTGTTCCTGGGGTTGGAGTTCTGGGCCTTCAATATAAAGTACCCTGAAAAAGGTGGGAGCTAGAGTTGAAATCAGACCCCTGCTGCCTCCTGAGGAGGTTGCTGCCCCTTCCTCCCAATTTTTCTTCATGTTTCTTAAAGGCATTTTGGTTTTTTAAAATCTGTATAGCAAGAGCAACTTTTTCTGTCCAATAAAAATGAGAAATGCAAAAAAAAAAAAAAAAGAGTTGGAGTCCAGTCAACAGCATCTAAGGACAACACACTGAGTTGTTGTTATGTGCCATCGAGTCGCTTGCGACTCAAAGCGACCCTACGTACAACAGCCTTAACCTGTGCTCTATCCTGTGTCAATCACACTGTCTCCGATACACCCATCTGATTACCTCAGTCACTGAATCAATCCACCTCACAGAGGGCCTTCCCCTCCTGCGCTGCCCCTCCACCCTCCCAAGCATGATGTCCCTCTCCAAGGACCGGTCTCTCCTTACAACATGTCCAAAGTATGTCTGACAAAGCCCCAGAATCCTTGCCTCCAAGGAACCGCCCAGTTTAACCCTTTCCAGGATGAATCTGTTACACAGCCCCAGAATCCTTGCCTCCAAGGAGCAGCCCAGTTTAACCCTGTCCAGGATGAATATGTTTGTTTTCCTAGTAGTCCATGGTACCCTCAATACTCTTCTCCAGCACCACAGCTCAAAGGCATCAATTCTCCTTCTATCCTCCCTAGTTATTGTCCAACTCTCTGATGCATAACAAGTGATTTCAAAGACCATGGCCTGTATCAGAGGCACCTTAGTCTCCAGAGTGACACCACTGCTCCCCAGTACTTTGGAGAGGTCCCTAACAGCACACTTTCCCATCACATTATGTCTTTTAATTTCCTGGCGGCTGTTGCCAAGAGTGTTGACTATGGAGCCAAGCAGACACATTGAGAATAAATTTGTGTTTGTTAAAACTATGCACACATGCAAGGGAGCACTGGTGGCCCAGGGGTAAGAAGTTGCACCACATCCTGAAGACATGCAGTTTGAATCCACAGGATTCTCCTGGTCTGTGGGAGAAAGATGGTCGATCTCCTCCCATACAATTAACTGCCTCTGAACACCTGAAGGAGGGTCAGCTGGGGGTTTGTTTGACAACAACATGTACACATATTATCTCTGTGACAGGGGCACTAGATGAAGGGAAATAGAAGTGAGAAGACTGCAGACTGGCCTGGGGCAGGGTGTGTTGGTAAACACTGCACCCCGTACAGCAGAGGGCAGGACCCTTGTAAAATTGTTGTTACATGCCCTTCCAGTTGCCTGTGAATAGTAACTCTAAGCACAAGAGCTCTGAAGCCTGCCCAGTCCTGAGCCAGTCTCACTGACTTAGACACACCTACCCCCACTGCCATAGGTACAGTATCAATCCATCTTATTCAGGGATTTCCTCTCCTGGCTGCCACTGTCCTTCCTTCTTCAAGGACCAGTCCCTTCAAAGACACATGCCCAAAGTATGAGAGCCAGAGCTTCAAAATCAGAGCCTTAAGGAGAAACTTGGTTTCATCCTCTCCAAGACAGACCTATTTTGTTTTCTGGTGCATTTTTCCTGATAGTGAACCAACAGCTTTGATGGGAGAAAACAAGGATTTGAAGTGAAAATGTGAGAAGTACTAGGACCATGGAGGAAAGGAAGGAGCTGCATTTCCTGGTTAATCAAGTGAGCACAGAAGTCAGATGTACAGACCTGTATATCACTCCTAACGAAGCAATAGAGCTGATACAGAATGACAATGACAAAAACCATTGAGTATGTGACTGGACAGCATTCAGGCTAATTCTTCAGCGTGAATGGCAAACATGCTACCAAGAAATATGCTCCAACTGGACAGAGACTAAACATCAAAGACGTGTCAAATGTGAAGAGGCCATTTCACTTACCAGCTCAGGGGCTGCGGGACTTCAACCTTTTGCCCATCCACTTCTAGATTCTCCAGTTCCTTAAAGTACTTGTTCTTTAAGCAGTGGAGGATCTCTTTAGCGTGGCTGTTGAAAAAGAAGCAAATTTCAAGAAAAGCAAACATAAAATATTACTATTACGGCATTATCTGCCTTGGGAAAAGTTTACCAGGAACGTTGCCCAGAAAGGAGGACGGCGCGCTTCATCTCACACATTCTGGCCATGCTCTCAGGAGAGATCGTCCCTAGGGAAAGTCATCATCATCGTGACAATCATTAGGTAAAAGGGTCAGCATTAAATGACAGTCCTCAGACAGTGGCTGCAACAAAGGGAGCGCACATGAGTGTGCAGTGTTCCGTTCTACTGTACATGAATTGCTGAGTTCAAACCAAACTCAGCGGTGGTGTTAGGTCCCATGGAGTCGGGTACGACCCACAGTGACCCTATCAACAACAGATCTGAACACTGTCCTATCTTGTACCATCTCTGACACACTAGAGCCCATTGCCACAGTCACCGTGTCAATCCACGTGAGGGTCTCTACCCTTTGCTGCTTTCCATCTTCCCACGCTTGATGTCCCTCCCTCAGCATATGCTCAAGATAGTGAGACGAAGCTTTTCTAACTTTGCCTCCAAGGAGCACTGTGGCTGCACCTTCTCTGAGATAAATGTTTGTTCTTTTGGCAGACTATGGGATCTTCAGCACTCTTCTCCAACACCATAGTTTAAAGGCATCAATTATTCTTCTGTCATCCTAGTCTTAGTCCAGATCTCAAATGCATACCAAGTGAATGAAAAGACCATGGTCTGAATCAGGCAAACCTTAGTCCTAAAACTGACATCATTATTCCTCAACAATCTGAAAAGAACCCTGACTGCAGACCTTCCAAGTACGTCTCCCAGTCTCCTGACTGCTGGCACTAAGTGTACAAATCATGGATCCAAGGTAGATGAAGTGTCAGCAGTCTTACTCATTTCTCCATCCATCCTGATGGTGCCTATGCAAAAAAGCACAAGAGTGCCTGGAGCTGCGAGTGGGAGCTAGCCACTTGCTGTTATCCATGGAGTCACAGAGGGTCATCATGACTCCATGCACAACCTAGCAAAGCTGCTCAGTGCTGCACTATCCCCATGTCCCCCTGGGGAGCGGAGGGTAGTCAGTGTCTCCAGACCTTCCCCACACCATCCCTGTCCATGTTAGTGTGGAAGCTCTCTCCACTGACACCTGTTGAGCATCAGAGCAAACAAGCCAGTCAGCAAGCCTGCACCGTCAGACAGGTGGTGTCAGCAAGAGGCCACAGGAGGGAGAACTCCACTATTTCCACCACTGAACCTCAGATGCTTGGTGGAAGCCCAGAGGAAGACATGAACTGGCAGTCTGAGCAATGGTTGGCCACTGGACTCTGGGGAGCTGAGGAAGCTCTTTGAGGACATGTGGGATTCTGCAGGTAGGCAACTGCTGACCAACTTAACTATCACATTCCTACAGAAAGACCAGATTATCTGCTTTTGTGATGCATGTCTGGTGTGCGTCATTATCAAGTAGATTACACCTAAAAGTTGACTTGCTTAATAAGACTTTTTATCATCATCATTTTAAAAAAGCCAAAAAAGGGAGGGCCTTTGTAATTGTTTTTTGAGATGTGTCAAAAGTAACAAAGTGGAATATCTGGGCAAGCAACAGGGCAGCCTACCTTCCGAGGTCTCACGAGCTTTCCTCTTTTGATGACATAGTCTTTTCAGTTTTGTTTTGTTAATGTTAAGTAGACGATACTCAGATTTTCCTTTTCTTGACAGATTTCCACCATACAAACTTACTGGTTTACTCAGGTGGTTGCAGTGAGGGAGAGGGGTGTGTGCGTGTGTGTGTGTGTGTGTGTGTGTGTGTGTAGACAGGAAGGAAGCAGCATGGCACTTTGCAATATAAGGAATGTTAAAATTCAAGGAAAAATAGTAGAAAGGCATACTAAGAGAATGTACTTTATCATCCTCTCCACTGGACCAATAAGCAACAGTAGGATCAATGAAAAAAAGATTGAAATCGTCGATGATTTAATCTTACTTGGCTCTACAGTCAATACTTGTGGGACCAGCAATGAAGAGATATATAGCATAGCATTGGGCAAGTCCTCTGTCACGATATTATTGTTGATTGCCTTCGAGTTGAGCACAACTCATAGTGACCCTATGAACAAAAGGCCTGACGCCTTTCTAGAACTACTAACATTTATCAAAGTTCATACAATTTCCGGAGGCATGTTGTTCAGGAAGTGGATGCCATTCCTGCTTCCAAATTACTGAGGAGAAGTGATGTTTGAAGATTTACTCTTTCCCTCTATTTATAGCAAGCCATGTATGAGGTAGGCAGTGATTAAGATGACAGAAGAATTGATGCGTTTGAGTCGGGGTGTTGGAGAGGTGCACTGGCTGTATTCCATGGACTGCCAAAAGACAAAGAGCAGCCAGAATGGTCCTTGGAGGCAAGAATGAGAAAGCTTCGTCTCATATTCTGCGCATGCTGCTAGGAGAGGCTATTCTCTTGAAGAGTGACATGCTTGGAAAGGTGGGGGATCAGAAGAGAGGAAGACCTTTAATGAGATGACTGATACGGTTACTGTAGCTGTGGGCTTAAGTGAGTCAGAGGTGACAAGGATGGTAAAGGATAGGATATTATTCAGATCTGTTGATCACAGGCAGGTGGGAGTCACCCAACTTATTATCGCCTAATAACAGGCTGGCTTTAGTTTTAAAACTCTCAAAGTTTTGAAAAAACCAAAAGCACAGCTTTAAATGCTGTCATTCCGGTTTACAGCAATCCTTTGTGTAACATGAGGAAACACTACTAGATTCTTATTATCCCTGTAATTTCTGCTATGTCTGAGCCCATTTTTGCATGCACTGTCAGTCCACTTACTCCATAGTCTTCTGGGTTTTGCTGACCATTATTTTGTTGTTGTTATGTGTCCTTGAGTCGCCTGCGATTCAAAGCAACCCTATGTGCAACAGCTCTGAAGCCTGCCCTGTCCTGAGCCAGTCTCACTGACTGACACACCAACACCCACTGCCCTGGTTACTGTATCAATCCATCTCATCTAGGGTCCTCTTCTCCTCCGCCATCCTTCCTCCCCTCCAAGTATGATGTCCTTTTTTCTCCAAGGATCATGGCCATGTGCCCAAAGTATGTGATAGGGAAATTCAAAATCCTAGCCTCCAAGGAGAAACTTAGTTTCACCCTCTCTAAGATGTATCTATTTGTTTTCTTAGCTGTCCACGCACCACAGCACAAAGGCATCAGTTCCTCTTCTGTCATCCTTAGTCATTGCCCAGCTCTCTGATTTGTCCAGCAAGTAATTGAGAAGACCACAGGCTGGATCAGGTGCATTTAGTCTCTAGTCTGACATAGTTGCTTCTCAGAACTCTGGAAAGATCCTTGACAGCAGATTTACCTAATGGTAAAGTCTTTTGATTGCTGATTGCTGGTGTCAAGAGTGTTGACTGTGGGGCCTAATAAGGTGTTAACTCTTAACAACCTCAGTTTCTTCTCCATCCATCATGGTGCTGCCAATGGTCCCAGTGGTGAGAATCTTTGTCTTCTTGAAGCATAGTATCTTTTGGAGACACATCCCTACCGATAAATAATGTGTTGAAAGTATGTGAGATAAAGTGTTAATAGCTTCACTTACAAGGAGCATTTCAAGACACACGTGGCCTATTGTTAGGTGTCACTGAGACAGGAAAACAAAAAGCCTCACCACGGAGCCAACATCCTCTGCATCTGGCGGGCAAACACCTTTGACGTTCACCTGAGACATCCCAGTCGCCCTTCTCCAGCAAATAAAACTAAGCCGTACCTTTTGTACCCGGTAATCCTTATGGTGGCTGGGAGGGGCTCCCGCAGCGCCCCCATAAACTGTTCCCACTCGCCCTCGGGCACAATCTTGAGCTCCTGGTAGTAGTGCTCAAACAGCTTGTTCTCTTTGATGATCTCGGGGTACCCGCCTTCCCAGCCCTAAAGAAAGAGAAGGACGTTATCCCGAGCAGAGGTGTTGGGGCGCCCCTCCCGAGGACTCCCCTTAGGCTCTCCGTAATCCCGGGGTCCCCCTCCCCGGCAGCTCGGCCCTACCGCCGCGCTGCGCTTCCTGCCGCCGCGCTCGGCCGCGTCCTCCCCGCCCTCGGGCCGCTGCTGATGCTGCTGGAGCCGCCGGCCGCGCGCCCGGCGTCCCATCACTGTCCACGCCGCCCGCAGCGGCCGCACCACGCCGAGGACACGCAGCGGCAGGTCCACGCCGAGAGCAGCAAGTCCACGCGGAGGGCAGCGGACGGCTGCCCACTTCCGGGTACACGCAGCGCCGCTCCACGCCGAGCACCGATGACTTCCGGGACTCCCGAGGACCCCCACATCAGGACCGGGTCTGTCCACTGCCTGCCGGGATCCACAGAAAACACAGCCAGCGGCGTCACAACGCTTCGAAACACAGTTATCAGCCCAGAGAAAGTAAGCAGTAGCTGAAGATGAGAGAGTAGCAAGCTTTCGTCACTCTAAGTGCCTGAATTTTCCGAACGCGTTCAGGCAACGCCACAGACAGCCTCTGTGCAGAGCGGCGGAACACGGGCCAGGGGTGGGGCCATCACGGCCCTGGGCTGGAGAAGTCGCTTCTCGAGCTTGCCCCGCATTCCATGCTGGCCCTTCCTCCAAGCACTAGGCTCCAACCCCAGCTGCGATTTCACCAGCCATCCAATCCCTGAAGACCTTCCTCGGTCTCCTCTTTTCCTCCCAGACGCCCCGTACACTGGCCCGGGGCCCCCGCTCCCACTCTAAGGCTATCCCCTCTTTCTCTCTCCTATCCCCAATCCCCTGCCAACAAGCTCCTGGCCTTGTCTCCAAGCCCCTTGAGATGGGGGCACCACCCTTATCGTTCTTGCCTACACTCCTGATCCACTACCTCAGCTCTAAGGTCTGAGGTCTCTCTCCTGACCAATCAAAAGCAATCACCGAGGCTGCACTCCGATCTCTGAAGCTGAGTAAACAGCTAGCAAGTAGATTGAGGCCCCTCCTCTAAACATCGCCTTCTATCATCACAGCCTCGAATCCTGGCCTAGCTCGGATCTCAGCCCCCAGAAACAATCTTACCTGGGAGCTGGGGTTCCGCCCCAAGCCCCGCCCTCTGTCAACGAGGCCCCGCCCCCGACTCGCGCCCTGGGTCAATCCCGCTCCTGATCTCGTGCCCCTCCCCCCGATCAGACCCCCAAGTTCGACCAGGCATCTCCGAGGCTCCGCCCCACGACTCCGCCCTGTATTATGGTCCCGCCCCCGAGCCCATAGCTAGCTCACATCTCTGAGATCCTGCCCCTGAGCTGAACCTTTCTTTTCTGTGGACGATATAATCAAGGTCTTACCTCCTTTCAGCGGTCCAGCACAGATTTCAGAGGCCCCATCCCTGAGGTCAAATTTATCTTCAAATGATGCTCCCCACTTAAGGCTCCACCCTGCATCATGGAGGCCCCACCCCTGAGCCTGCGGCCAGCTCAGATCTCTGAGACCCTGTACCCTCTCTCCAGGACTACCTGGGAGGCCGAGATCTAACCCAAATCCTCTACTCCATCCCAGAAACCCCTACATCTGACCTGCGCACAATCCCATTCGCGAAGCCCCACCCTCAGCGGGTGGTGCCATCCCATCCGAGAGCCCTCACCCTTAGCCCTCAACTCCCCCATCCTAGAGACTTCACCTGCGTCCCGCTCCATCCTAGAGGCCATACCCTCTGTATCCCAGAGTCCTTACCCCTGGCCCTTGGTTCCGCCCCATTCCAGAGGCCTCACCCTTGACAGGGGGCCACGCATCCCATCCCAGAGTCCCCACTCCAAGTCCGTCCCCCCCCCACACACACACACACGCACACCCGGGAAGCCATATCCCTGCCCCGCCACATCACAAAGAGCAAGTGGACAGTTGGCGAGCTCCCAGCTCAAGCCGGGCGGGGGCGGGCCCCAGGGGCGTGTCCACCGGAGCTTGGTGACGACCAGGCCCGCCCTGCACGTGGCCCGGGCTACCCAGGACCGCGCCTTTGCCCTCCGCCTACATGAGCAGTCGCCTGGCATGGAGTGCGGTCCCCGACCATGGAGTTCAGCGAGCGGGAGCTGCTGGACGCGCTGGCCGGCCTTCTGGCTGTGCTCGGCTGCTTCACCATGCTGCTGCTGCAGCGCTATGGCACGTCGTATGGTCGGTACTCGTCGTCCAGCTGGTGCTGGCAGGTGCCGGCGCGGCTGGCGTGGGTGCTGCAGGAGCTGCCCTCGCTGGCCCTGCCGCTGCTCGAGTGCGCCCTCGCTGACCACCACCTGCGCCGCGCACCCAACGCCCTGCTGCTGGCCATGTTCATCATCCACTACGCACACCGGTAACCGTCCCGCGCGCCGACCGCTCTGCTCGGGCAGCAGAACTGCACCCGCTCGCGCCTGCCCGTGCCCCACTGGCTCCGCCCCTGGGTTCCCTGATCCCCATCACAGCCCCTGCCGACCTGTGCCCGGTGTCCTGACCCAACAAAGGACGTCTGAGCCGTTCCCCGCCCCCGACTGCCCGTCCCCCGCTGGCCTACCTTGCCGACCAACCCGCGCCTGGTTCCCCGTCTCTCCACTTCTCGCCCCTGGGTCCTCTACCTGCATCACTGCCCTACGTTCCCAGCACCTTGGTCCCCTCACCTGACCCTGTGGACTGGCTTCCCCATTTCCCCGCCCTGGTTCTTCCGATTCCGCACCCCCACTGACCTCACCCTTTGCTGACCTGCACTCCTGTACTGACCCATTGACCTTCAACTCTAAGGTCTGTCCAACTCCTCCCTGCCCGGCCCTCCCAGCCCTCTCACTGGACCCCGCTGACCCTACACCCCATGGTCCCTGCACTCTGTGAACCCACAGTCCTGACCCTAAGGCCAACCTCACACCTTGTTGACCCCTCACTTCATCCTGCGAGTCCTCTGTCCCAGAGGTTGCCTTGGTCCAACCCCTGCACGCCCGTTCTCTAAGGTCTCTTCTCCAATTCCAGGGTCCTCTCCCATGTCCTATCTGAGCTGGTTAGCTCCTTGCCCTGTCCCACTCTCCTTTTAGCTCCTTGGTACTGGGAATGGTTTAGAAATAAGAAGTAGATTTTGACCTGGAGAAAGGGAAAATTATCATATATGCCTGCAATGGGTTACATACAACTTGTGGCCAAATTATGGCAGACCCTATAAAGAGTCCTAAGGTGTAACTTATGGAAAGGATAACCACTGCATCTCCAAGGCTGTTTTAGAAAGGGCTATTTTAATAATTTGTTGATGTTGTGTTTTGGGATTTTGTAAGTCCAAAATGGGAAGTGTTAGCTGTGTAATTACCCTGCAGTTTGTTCTGTTTGGATCGACGTTAAAGTTTCTCCAGTAGCTTTAAAACATAAAGCATGGATGCAGATGGCCTCACATGCACCAAGATCAGATTGAGTACTTTCTTGCCTTTGGGTGCTGTCACTCTCTGCATGTGATGGTTTTCTCTTGATCAGATGATCAAGTTGCAACTTGCAAACCTGTTTCCCCAGCCTGCTTTGTGATTCCTGTTGGGCTTGAATCTTAAAGACGTTTCACCCTACATTGTGCAAGGGGTTCCCAATTTCATTTGCATGGGTGGCTAGTTCTGTGAAGAAACACATAAAGTTGGGAAGGAGACCATCAAAAGGTTTTTTGTAAAATGGTTGTGCTTGAGGTATTTGAATCTTAGCTACTGAGTTTACACTCAAAAGTTTAAGTCTCTCATTTGAACTTCAATAAGCTGCTTAATAAGAAAGGATATTCTCTGAATCCTGACTTCTGGGTTTGCCTCCTGGGTGAGTGTGGGCAGCTTCTTAACATCTCTGAGCACAGGTTGTTTCCTGAAACTCTGCTTCACAGGCAGGTAGGAAGAGCAACTTGTGTGTGGGTGGGTTTCTCTTTTCTCCCTGGAGTCCTACTGTCTGATGGGGAGAAACACCACAAGCACAGCCTGTACCTAGTCGGGTGCCTGTTCCTGCCGCAGTCCTCAGTGCACAAGACCCAGGTACAAGTCCCCAAGCCCTACCTGGCTCACTCTGTGTGTCTCCCACCTATGTGTGAACCCCTCCCCCTATTTCTTTTACACTTTGCAGAATGACAAACTCTGAGTTCACCAAACCTTCCTGAGTGTCACACGTGCCTGACTTAGTCTCCAAGGAAGTGTAGCTCCTCAGCCTTGCAATACCCAGTGAAATTTTTTGCTTGACTTTTTGTCACTTGGTGAATATTGTTAGCACTCAATTGGCATGCTTGAGTCTATTGCTGGCTGGTTGTTTCTCTAGACTCTAAAAGCAAGCCCTGGACTCTTGGGCAGGATTACCCAATCTGCCTTGATCTAGAGGTTCCACATCTCAAAACTGGGTAAAAAGATAATCCAGTCTCGAAGGCAGGCAATGAATAGAGTTCACCCCATGACCTTTGCAGGAAATGATGGATGTTTTGATTGTATGTGGCTATTGCACATGGACATATCCGTGTTAAACACATGTCAGAGTCATTGTGGGTTCACTTCCATACCACTGCGATAAAGCCAATTAAAAAAAAAGCAGCAGTGGTACAAGGCTTTTCACTTCCCAGTGCATAGAAAAGTTTGGTTGACCCTGAACCATTGTCTCTGAGGTGTGAGATAGCATGGGGGGGGGGATTGGAATAATTGTGAGAATGGTCAAAGGAGAACATAGCAACATGAAGTGGGGCACGTGCAATTAGAAAAATGGCACCACAAGTCCTGCTCAACACTGGGTGGCCACAGAACTTCTTTGTGAGAAGCAGTATGTGTGAAGCTGAGCACTTTAGACAAGGTATGGCTGCACACACAGACACTTGGACACTTCCCGCAGCCTGGAGTGATGTTGGGAGCAAAGGGACCACTCTTCTGAGTTTTGTTTGGAAGGCTTGTTAGGAGACATCAATTTGACATTGACTCATAGTGACCCTATGAAAAGCAGATGGAACTGTAGCCTATCGTAAACCATCCTCGCAAGTTTCACCGTGCTCAAACCCATTGTTGCTGCCACTGTGTCAGTCCTCTGAAAGTCTACCACTTTCCCCCTGAACCTCCACTTTCCCCAACATTATATCCTTCAGGGTCTTGCACCTCCTGATAACACATTCATTGTTCAAAGTATGTGACACAAAGTCTAACCAACCTTGGAGCACTCTGACTACAGTTCTCTAAAGATATATATATATTTTTTTTTCTTCTGATTGTTGTTATGTACCATTGAGTTGGACTCAACCCATAGCTGACCCTCCAGCATGGGAGGAGACTGCCCATCCTTTCAACACAAAACAACTGGTGGATTTCAACCCTGAGCCTTTGGGATTGCAATGCAGTTTCTTACCACCAGGCCTCCAGAGCTCCCTGGTTCTTCCTCAGTATATTCAATAGTCTGCCATCATCACAATTCAAAGGCATCAATTTTCCTTCAGTGTTCTATACTCATTGTCTTACTTTCACATGCATTGTTGTTGTGTGGCGTGGATTCAGAAACAACTTATAGCTCATCCTCTAACAGGTTTTCAGAGGCTGTAAATCACACAAGGGAAGATTGCCCATCCTTCTTCAGCAGAACAGCTGGTGGGTTCAAACCACATGCCTTTTGAATTACAGTGGAGCTTTTTACCACTAAGCCACCAGAGCTCCCTGCCATGCATAGGAAGCAATTGAAAATGACTCAGGTCAGGTCACTTCAGTCCTTAGAGTCATGCTTTTGCTCTTTAGCACTTTAAAGAGGCCTTTGGTTTCAGATTTGCCTAACACAATATATCACTTAACTTCTCGACTGTGCTTCCATGGATGTTGACTGTGGATCTGAGGAAAATGAAATCCTTAACAACTTCCATCCTTTCTCCGTCTATCACGATGCTGCCTGTTGATCCAGTGGGGAAGATTTTGTTTTCTCAGTGTTGAGGTGTGATCCATACTGAGGCCTGTTTCTTTGAGCTTCATCAACAAGAAAGTCTGCAGTTGAAGTTCTTTGACCTAAGGCACTCTGTACTGTCCACCTACAGGGTGGGAGCTCATCAACACATAGCTGAGGCCTGAGGACCCAGCGGACAAGACCAGTTCTCAGAGGGATGTCTGGGGTCAGGAATTGTTTTATAAATGACTGAACTTTGGGCTTTTCAATTAAATCTGCACGTGCAACTTGTACACAGGACTTGCTTGGCTTGGAGACCTTTGAGACAGAGATGTCACCACAGGAGGTGCATATACCCCAGGTGATGCTATCAGAGGGGTTATTGCAGAATGATTGTCTATATAATTTTTGTGGGGTGTGAGCTGTCGGGGCTGACATGGAAGGACACTGGACCCCGGATTAGGTGTGAGCACCATGACACACTCGGGCCAGGTACAGGAGGGTGCAGCCAGGGGCACTTGGGACAGGGTAGAGGTAGGACTCACAGGCCATGGTGTGCAGTCACCTACAGGCAATGATGCTAGGGACTCTGGGGGCCTGGGCCACATTCAGTAGGTTCTGCTGTGCAGGAAGTCCATGAGGACAAGGGGTGATACCACGAGTTAACACAATGGGTGACATCAATCCCAGTGATACTTCTGTGTTGAGCTCTACTAAACAGGGAAGGTAAACATTTTCCATTCTACTAAGAACTAATTTATTAAACAGTCATCCGACCTGAGTGAGTGAGAGGCCGGAGAGACTAGGCATGGAGAAGGCATCCTACGGTTTCCATGAGCTAGCCAGCTGAGGCTACAGGTGCCAGGCAAATGGTGGCACAGGGGAAAGTGTTCCAGCCAGCAGGCAGCAGGGGGCAACAGGAGTAAGCAGGCAGGTTACCAGGCAGGGGCTGAGGGAAGGACTCACATATGATCAGGGAGCAGCGGCCACAGGTAGCAGGTGACCCCTGTGGCTGAAGCTTGGGCCTGAGATCAGTGAGGAGCAAGGACAGTCCACCCTTGCAACAAGCCCATCCTGATTCCTCATGAGTCTGTAGGACAGAACAGAGCTACCCCATGGGGTCTCCAAGGCTGCAATCTCTACAGAATCAGTCTGTCATGTCTTTCTACTGTGGAGCAGCTGATGAATTCGTACTGACAGCATTGTGATTAGCACACTGGGGCTTTAGTCACTGCATTGGTCAAGTACTTTTGAGTCAAGTCTGACTCAGAAACCCCGTGAACAACAGCACTGAACCCTGTCCTGTCCTAGTGCCTACACTTGTTGTTAAGTGCCATTGAGTTGTAGACGACTCATAGGAACTCTATGAATGAAAGTCTTGAACATGAAACTTTCATATTTGCTCTAAGTTCATAGTTTCCAGAGGCAAGCTTCTTTTTTCTTTTTTAAGTGTATACTACTCCTGCTTCCAAGACTGTT